ACCAAAACCTTGCCACGCAAAACCAATACATCATTATATCTGAGGTCTGGAATAAGGTGGAATAGGGAATTACTGTAACTTCTACAGTCCAGGAAGAGGCTTATTTATTCACTTTTACTGTAATTCTGGACAGTAATAAAGTTATCTCCTGAAAATATCAAATGTCAGAAACACTGCTATAATTGTTTCTTAAACATAGAAGATTTTGAACCAACCCATTAATAAAAGAACAGTAGTAAATGGGCGTAAGAGCACAAAGAAATCCTGACATACCCATATTATGCAATAGCAAAAGTGGTCCCTCTTTGACTCTTAACCTAAAATAGGTTTTTTTATTAAATACTTCTCTGCAGTCTGATTTACGAGAAACCATCTGCTGCACCAAGTTCTTCATTTACAACCTGATGCTTGCTTATTCATTTCTGTTAACCTTTTAACTTTACGTATAGCTGGTAAATGAAAGAGCAGATGACGGCGGCTCTGGTCCAAGCCAGCACCAGTCCCTGTTGTTATGGCAACTGGTGTTCGCACAGCCCTGCTCTTCGGCTGCAGCTGCTTCCAGTCTTCCTACTGCAAAGCATGGAAAAGCAATTTTCAAAAACTTCTCTATGAAAGGTGACCTGTGAAACCCTCTATTCTGCGTACAGAGTCTTGACCAGAACCTAGCTGCAAAGACAAACCTGGTCTGTAAAACTTCCCACAGCTGGAAGCAATCAGAAAATAGCAGAGCAGCAGCATAAACCGGTCATTTAGCCCCAGAGAAAAGAGCAAGAATTATTCACAAATGCACAACCGCATTAAAGGTAACTACACAAGATAAACTGTTAGCCAGACAGATTGTCAGATAATGATAGAATTTCTCCTCTACTCCTCTGATTTTCATTATTTATTTTACAAAGGACTCGATTCTATTCCCATTTCATAGCTATTTTGCAAATGTCTTCACTAGGGGATGAACTGATCCTAAATTGCAGATTTAATTCCTGGCAGACCACTGACTGCAGGTACATTTGCTGATGCCATGAGCAAGTTTTTCTCCCAAGTGCATCAGGTGAGACTGTGTGAAATGTGGCTAATGTTTCTCTTTAATATGCTTCAGGAGAAAAGATTTTACTATAGAAATAGTGCAAAGTACAAAGAATAAAAAACAATTGTTTTTAAAGTCTGAGCTGATACTGTGAGTCAGGTAATGATAAAAAAATAAACAAATGTTTCATTAGTTGAGGATCTGAACAAGTGAGTCCTGAGGCAATCAATATGCAGCTTTCCAGTTCTGATACAAGAGAATTATTTTTCAGTTGGTTGTTACATCATTTAGAAATTAATTATTTTAATTTGCATTTCAATAACAATCTCCAGCCAAGGCTGGGGTCTTACTGTGCTGGTCTCTGTTGGAAAACAGTAAGGAGAGATCCTGTCCTAAGGCGTTTGCAGCCCATGAGGTAAATCATGATGGTAAGGTCTCTCTAACCACAAGGCAACATGCTGCTTTATCCACTCTGAGGCACTTTCAAGTATAATAAATAATTGAATACACAAGCTAACTTAGCCACTGAAAAATGGAAAGAAATAGAAATAAGATGATTTAAAGTTTGCTTTAAAACAAACAAACAGCTTTTTTTTTTTTTGTTATAATTGATGTTGAATGGGTTTATAAAGCACTTTTACAGTACTGGTTTCTGGTAGGAAATTGTGCAGCTTAAGTTACTAGCCTACATGTACATATATCAGCAAGCTATCCCAATGTAACACAGCAGGCTATGCAACTGTGCTCCAAAGTACTTGACAGTTTTTGTGCAGTTTTTGTTAATTCAACCTTTTCCCCCCCAGTTTGTTTGTAACCCATGGTGACTGCCCCGGGGAGCTCACCAGCTCCTGCAGATTCATACTTCCCCAGAAAGTCGTTACTTGTGCTAACACTTCCACTTAGCTGAATCAGACCCTCTGAAGAGAAGGCAATTTGTGCAAAGGGTTGCAAGGATCAAGGAATGGTTACTAAGCAGAAATGCAGTCTATTATTTTCCCCAGCTGTAGCCTACGCAGTAGATGAATCCTGTGAAAAGTTCTTTGCTCACATAGCAATGGATATTTTTAAGAGAAACTGCTCTATTTTATGGGCTCCCAGTTAGTCTTTCCTTTTTTCCTCCCTCATGGAAGCCACTCATCCTATGAACAATACATATGCTTATCTTCTAGATGTCTTTCAATTTCACCACCTGCAGTGCTTCATGAAGTTACTTACTACTTTTCTACCCCGCTTCACCCGTATCGATGTATCCTGTTCATCACTGTCAAAGCCTCAGCAGTGTACTGCAACAAATTGCTGCCACCCATATTCGTGACTGTTAAGTGACTTGCCATGAACCTAAGAGAAGTTGTCTGTCTTAACTATATTATAACAACTGATATTGTCCTCTATGTCTTCCTGTAAAAAACAGGGAGATTGAAATATACTATATTAAAATGGATGTAAAAAATCAAGTAGAGAAATGAACAAATATCCTAAGAAAGGATCGGTTGAAATTGGAAGAAATGAAAAGTGAAGGGAAAATTAAAAACCCTCATGTCTTCCTTTTTAATTTGATAGTATTTTAGCTTTCAAAATGCTTTAGTGAAGATACAAACATCTGGCTACACAAATACATATAGTTCCAATCAGAGTAGACATGGGAAGCTAAATATGCTGGCTGACAAAAAGAGAAGGATATAATGAATTTTGTGATGGGATGAGCTTGCTAATACTAATATATGGTAGCTACTCTTTCCTCATTGATACACTTGCTGATCCTGTACACCATACATTCTTGCATTCCTGAGTGATTTACCCCTCTCTTCATTTTGATGTCCAATGTCTGGTGGTGGTTTTTTTTCCACTTAATTGAAACATGTTGGCAATCACAGCCACCTTTTACTGCTTTTGGCTTTTTCCCCAAATCTTTCCTTCACCCTGCCTCCACTTCTCTCTCTTCACAGCATTTCATCAATTTATTCCAAGCAAAAAATGATGAAACATCCTCTTCTCCCCAGCTGACTTTGACTGGTCCTCCCTTCCCCAGCTGCCTCCTCCCTTTCTGTGTCCCAGTTACAGAAATTTCCTACCTCCACTTACACCAATGTCACATCCCATCTCCTCATCTCCCCCATCCTGCTCTTACCCCCTCCCTTACTCATCCCTTTTGTCTCTCACTCTTAGGTAGTTTTCGGTTCTCACAATAAAGGCATGTTTTCCTCTTCAAGTCTTAAACCCATACTTGACCTCATTTGCCCCTCCAGTTGCTGCTTCCTCTCCCTTTCATCTGTACATTCACTGAATGTTCAGTTTCTAGTCCCTGGAGTACCTCTCCTTACTCCTTTCCCTTCCTACCTCAAGCCTTACCCTACAACAACTCTCAATTAAATACTTTATGACTTTCAAGGCACTAATCAGGACCAGTGTGCGTTCTTCAGGTTCCTTAAGCTGCTGCCTCCATGGCTATGTTGAAGGGTGAATCTCACCCTGCCTGAAGTCCTACTTACTTTGTTCCTACTGCTCTGTTCTCTCCTCACTCCCTTCCTCTCTAATCTCTTCTGCAAGGTTTTTTGTAAAGAGTTTCTTTTACCCTAGTGACTCTCTATTTGACTTGAGTGTTGTCCTCTTCTCCTTATCTCTGGCATTCTCATGTGTAAACACAAATTCAATTATTGCATGCTTCCAGGAAGAATACTTACTGATCTACCTCTGTCTGGCTTCTGTTTATGATGTTTAGGCACCAACTCTAAGTAAACATGGCTAAGATAATGCTAAGCATGGGTACAGAGGTAGCACTCACTGTGTTTAGCCTTCATGGCTGGAGAAAAGACTGTCACCTGTCATTCAAGCTTACTGGCCAGTATCATCTTGAACCTTTATAAATTCCGTATACAATCTTCTTTCATACAGCATTTCATATACCAGCTCACCTTCAAATTCTCATAATTCTGCATGTGATTACTACAAAGTCTTTCTTTAGCCTTCGGGAGTACTACACAGACCCTTTATGACTTCTCCCTCCCTGTCCTATTTCGGTCAGCACAGAGTCATCATCTCCCTATTCCAATTGGCCTGTGTTGCCCACCCTTGTGAATTTTCACTCCTGAACTATCATGACTTCTTCCTGGTGCTTTGTCACTCACTGTAAAAAGTCTACAAAGCTACTTCTTCTCCTGTGAAGCTGCTTACAGGCATTTACTGTTTTAGATGCAAATTATAATTATCTAGGGCAGTGGCCATGTTGTGTTTGTACAACGTCTAGCACCAGGAATATCTGGACCTAGACTGAGATTTCTAGATACTGCTGCAATACATAACAATTCTGAAAACATCTTAAACCCTACATCAAATCAGAGCTCCTCATTCCCTTTCCCATCTCAATCCCTGCTGTAGCACCTCAGGTGCACAATTAAGCATGTACCACACTGACAAGAACAGGGAAATTCAAACTTGTAGGTCAGCTCCTGTGCAGCTCACCATTTGATCAGTTTTATTTTCTGTGGATCATCCTAATTTGAGGTAGCGTGGAAGAAGGCTGGCATATCTTATTTTAAACCTATTTCTTAAATGTTTTGGAAAAAAACCCCAACCCAACCCAAACCAAAAAGCCGTGTATTCCACAGCAAGAGCCTCAGAGACCAAGTTCCCTTCCCTCCTGGTGTCGTTATGGCATAGCTGATGGCATTTATCCGCTCTCTCTCATAGCCAAGCCCCACCGTGGGAAGGTCTCTGGATGCCCAACAAGCCCGGAGCGCGGGTGGCGGCGTGGGACGGCCGGGGAGCGGCGGGGGCTCCCAGCCCCCCCCACCCCCCACCCCCCCCCCCGGAGATTTTTAAGCACAAGCTCCGGGGTCAGAAGCAGCCGGTCTCCGAGAAGCGGAGAGACGGCTACGCACCCCTCCGAGGACGCTGCAGCCGGGCGTGCAGCACAGCTCCCCCCCCCCCCACGCACACACCCCCCCCGCCCACCCGCGGCGGGGCCCCCACTCACCGGGTGGCGGCCCGCCCGGCTCCCGGCCGCCCGGCTCGGCGCTGCCGCCCTCCTGCGGCGGGCTCTCGGAGTCGGTGTTGGTCAGCCAGGTGGACTCGGTCTCCCGCGTCCAGCTCTCGTAGTAGCGGGGCTCGATGGCGTCGGCCCTGCTCCCCCCGCAGCCCATGGCGCCTGCCCGCTCACCGCCGCCGCCCCCCCCGGCAGCATCGCGGCCCCGCTCACGCCCTCCGCCCCATCGCGCCTCTCCCCGGCTCCGCTCGCCCTCCACCCCCGGCTTTATCAGCTCCCGCCCCCTCCTCCTGGCTGTCCCCTCCCCTTCTCCTCCCGTTACCCCCCTTCCCTCCCCTCCCGCTTTTCTCCTCGCTCCCAGCCCGTCCCCGTCCCCCCCCCCCGCAGCCCCAGCCCCGGAGCAGAGGGGCAGCGCTGGCCCCTCCGGGTGCCCGCGGCCGGACTCACGCCTCGGGCCGGCAGGCGTTCCCGCCTTCCCCGCTTTGGCTTTTGTGCGTATGGGATTTATACAATACGGGCTGGCGGTACGCACCAGCCCGCCATAGGTGGTCCCCCCTGGCTGGACCTTGCACCCCATTTCACAGAGCCACCCGTCAGCCCCTTCCTTGCTTCAGCCAGGAGAGCCTTGCTGCCGCCGCTGGCGTTAGCCGGTTTGCTCCTGTGCCATTGGGAACTGAAGGGGCAACACTGAGTGCTCAGCTCCAGAGAAACTTCCGCTCTTCCCTCTCGGATACACACTTTGGGAAGCAACCAAGAACACGGCATTCCTGCAAAACAGAGTATAATCTACGTTGTGGAGGGCACTCTAAATGCAGAGACAGAGATTTGACACTGATTCGAGTCACACTGATGGGGGTTGCAGTTCGTGTTGCAATAGCTGCTTCCCAAGGCCCCTCTGTCAGGGTTGGAGCAAGCCCCGTGAACACTGGGCACTGGGGGCTCATACCACAAGAGGGAGACTTTATCCCGAATAAATGTTCCTCTCCTGTAATCATTTCGTAGCAGAGCAGCAGGTATGACTCTTCCCCATAAGACAACTTGCAGAGTGATGCAGAAGTCATGTGTACTGCGCTTCATGCTGTTACACAACACGGCCGTTGGCTAAAAAGGATACATCCAGTGAAATCTGGAGAAACTCAGGCTGCCCTGTGTTATTAGAGTTGCAAGTAGAAGCACAAGCTCTTTGCTCCTAAAGGCTGGTACAAGATCTGTAAGAGGATCCAACAGGCCTTTAGCTTTGCATCCCATGGTAGGTCCCACATTCTGGTTCCGAAGAGATGCAGGTCGAAGGCTGCTGCCCGGGTTACTGAATCACCTATTATGCTTCCCAAAGCAGATGACTATTGAAATGTTTCTAAGCAGCTTCACAGCCAAATACTGACTCACGACAATCTTACTTTCCTCCTGAGATCTGCTGAGATCCCTCACAACATGGGAGCGCTGCAGAAATTTATTGCTCATGTACTTGTGCTACCAAGGCCCCAGGATCAGTGGGGCAGCAATCTGAGAGGGAACAGCTACTTCTTCATCACTGTGGTAATGTTTTCTTCTGGATTAATAAGGCGCTTTTTTTTTTTTTTTTTTTTTTTTTAAATAGAAACAGGGTTCCAACAGAGATTTTATTTCAATCAAACTGCCCCACCAGCAAACAGTCCCCAGGGCAATGGAATATAGTGGTGTCTGAAGCCAACAAAGAGGTCTAACACACATCCCACTTCCCAGGAACTGTGTGTGCCCTAGGTGGGCTTAGGGCATGGCCCAGGAAAAACTGCCACAGGCATGTCTGAGTCTCCAGATGAAAACTGGAGCAACAGTCAATGTCTCACACTGTAGTTGTGTGAATCAACTCTCTAAACCGAGAGCACGAAACAACGTACACGCTGGAACAGAACCTCAGGGGAGTCATTTTATTTTGTTTCATTTTAACTTTAAATTTGGAAGGGCTCTGACAGGATGCTGTCTGCTGGCATGTCTACTTTCACATCTCTTTGATTTCAGTTCTAGCTGTACTTGCAGGAACTTTATCTTCCAACATATTTTTTCCTAGAACAGTTTTCAGATCCTTTAAAAGCCCCTGGCAAGAGAACAACGAAGGTCTTCCTTTTCTTCTCTGTTATTACTACCACCACTAGAGAGGAATTAGACCTTAAATGTAAAGTAGGGTCTTAAAGCATTATATTGAACCACATTCCTTTTCCTTGAGTCCTACAGAGGTGCCTGCTTTGCAGTTGTGCTTTGCGGTTTTACTTTGCATCAACTTTAAAATTTTCACTTTTGGTGGAACATGGAGCAAATTACTGCAGAAAAGTAATGTTATAACTATTACTGCCTTTGTATTTAAGAATCTGGTGTAATTTTTGATCAGTTTATTCCATCAGTTGGGCAACAGTAAGACCTGATAGTTTTCACTCACAAATATTAAAGTTTGACAGGTTTCAAATGAATTTTAAAAATTCTTCAAAATAGCAATGTTTGCATGACTAACACAAACAAAATACATTCGTTAGCTCTGGTAAATAAATGGTTTCATTTTATTTTCATCAATTACTAGTGGAACTGAGAACTGATTTTTGAAATTTTATTTCTTTTCCACAGCTAAAAGAACTTTTATTCTTTGGTGCATTTTAAATTAATTTAAAAGACTAGGAGAAAACCAGAGTTTTGCATTGTTTTGTTAAAAGAATCAAATGCAATCAATCACAGGTACCTTTGTATGAAAATCCATTCTGATTAATTAAGAAAATTAATTCTCACTGGCAAGTGTGAGGGGCACAATGTTCATGTGTCTGCACCCTTTTGATTTACTCCTGAGCTAAAGAGCAAACTCCGAGGTACGTAGCAGTTGTGTGATGGGCCTGTGCTGCAGCTATAGAGTACCACAATGTATGGCAATGAAAGGCATGATGGCTGACATGAAAAAGATGATGGCAGCTTTAATACAGCAAGATAACAATTCAAGAATGATAATTCAATAATATTAATTTTACACTGAGAATCATATCAGGGAAGAAAGTGAACAAAAAAGGAAATCTGCCTTCAGAAACACAGAAAATACCCAGGATCAGATGAATCCTTGGCCCAAGTCCATCTCTTCTGGTGGTGTAATTGAATGGGAACTGATCTGTTGGTGAAGCTGGGTGGAGCAATTGGTGTAGAGCAGGAAGAGGCTGATGGCAGTGTGTGAATGGAGAACCGAAATCTGAAGAAATCTTGGGGGGGAGAAACTTTGCAACTTGTTTTTCTTCCTTTACTTCAGCACCTGAGGTGGTGTAGCCTAGCAGGAGTAATATTAAGAATGCAATTTTTTGGGTCTTATTTAATTTGTCATGCTGTTACCCTCATGCCAGGAGGTGATTAAGGCAGTAAAATGTGACCTTTCTCTATTAATCATTAGCAAAAGGATGGTCTCCCAGAGATCCTATTAGTGGAGCTTGGACTGTATTTTAGCTGTTCTGGTTTTGTGCTGCCTGATGCACACTATGCAGCGATGCTTTTCCTTCTAACGCTGTCAGTAATATCTGCTCTGTATATGCTGGCTTCTATGACCGTTCCCTACTCCAAAACCAGGTGTAGGAAGCAGAAGGACAGGGTGGACAGAGCGTGAACAAGGGAAGGAACTCTCAGGGATTTTACATTTAGAATTTTTCTGAAATGGGTTTAAAATAATTTGGTTTTATTCTTTCCCTCATAAAATCCATACAGAATTGTTGTAGGACTTATTAGTTATTTTCCCTCCAAATTACTGGGTCAAATTAATTTTCTTGTACTCCAATGACCATTACTAGGTGTGAGTTAGCTTTTATATTTGCTGTCAGTGTTAAGTGCAGAAGCAGCAATAGGAGGTTTAGGCAAAAGACGTCCTGCCTGTCTTCAGCTTTTTTGGGTGGTATCTCTACTTGTTCTATTAGATGGTGTTTATCAAGCACACAAATTAAATCTGGTTTTAGACCCCAGATTTTCTCACAAACCTGCTCTCTTCACGCCAGAAAGCAGATAGGAAGTCAGTTTATTCACTTACCTAGGGATCCCTGGGGTTCAAGACCATCACTGAGGGAAGCAAGGAGTTTGTATTTAAAACTTGTTCTTTCTAGTCAGGTATTTTGTGTATCTGAGGAGAAATAAAATTAATTAGCTGTGTTATATCCATTTGACATCACTCCAAGCTTGTAATATGCCTGGAAGCAAAATTGCTTCCAAAGCTTTCACACTGTATATTTGAGTCAGCTTTCCTCCTGACAGCAGGTATTTACTTCAAGTAAGTGATAAAGCATTAATCTTTACTGTTGTGAGTACTTGGAAAATATCATTTTCTTGGCTTGATTGCTCAAATATTTCTCTCAAACAATTTTCAAATGTATACCATACTATTTCTGTATTAATTATGCATTTCTTTCAATGAGGAAACAATAGCATTCATTTATCTCATACGGCAATTCAAACCAAGAGAGTTTTCAATTTAGTATTCACAGCTTCGTGAAAACGTATAGGTGATATTCAATATTAGCTACAGCTGAAGGTTTTGTAAGATGTCTCCAAACAGCTCATAAATAGGAAGAAGGTACTTAACTCACTCTTCTACTGCATATTTTTCATGTTTAAGATGGCTCTGAAACAGCACCTCAAATCCCAACATCCACATAATCAGAGAGCAATTCCCCCATCTGAGACTGCCAGTTTAGTTTTAAATTGGATTAAAAGCCCCAAAAGAATAATTTCCCAGATTCCTCCTTGTGAATAACTGTGCCCTGGCAGCACAGAAATCTCTTGTGATGTTCATGTACTATCATGAAAACTTCTCAGTCATTTAGGCTGCTCGGATTTCTAAGCCTTGCCTTTGAACCACAGCCGGACTTTAAAGCTGACCTGTCCTTCTCAACGGTCCAGCCTCTTTCCCTCCATCTCACGTGAGTGTTTCCTAAGGGACACACAGCAAGTTCTGCATAAATGAGGTTTAGGATCAGAACAGACATATTCGCTTTCCCAGCAAGTAATGGAAAACTATTACAGGGCAGGCATCAGAGTGTCCCCACTGTGTGGCATCTTACTGATACTTTAGGACTGAAAACTGGGCCAGACATGCAGGTTTGTGCAGTGTCCATCATGCTTTTTGGTGTGCTGTGTGAAAGAAGTCTTCAATATTGTCATGTAGAAAGACAAAATCTTACACTTGCCTCCATCTAACTTCTAAAATGTTTGGAGTTCAAACATTTTAAAGTTATACTGGA